TCATGAGAGACCCATGTGCTGTATTAAAAAAAATACATGTCTGATCCAGATGCTGTTTGCCACACCAGTCTTGGCTTGAAGTCAAGCAGCACCACCACAAAACAGGCCAGAATAGCTGCACACTGCTGTGTTATAGGAAGGAAGAGACACAACCAGCAACATGTTCTAAGTGCGGACAGAATTTCATTTCATTAAGCAGTAATTAGTTTCCAGGAAGAGCTGGACTAAAGCTGAGACAGCATAACCTCCCCTGTATAAAGGCAGAGGTAAAATTAACCTGCCTTTGCATAAGACTGAGAGAGAGGGAGCCCAGGTGGCATCCCTTGGGCAGGGTACCAGCTTTATGATCTGCTGATGTGCTTCTGGAACACAATCATCATCTATTTGCGAGACCTTCCCAGGGCTGCAGATCCATTTCATTTACACGTGCTGCTGATAGCCCAGGGGAACTTTTCTCTGCCTGAATTGAGGGACTCCAGCAATGATTTCTTGCTCAAGAAAACATCTTGAAAAATGTGAGAAGAGGAACGGTGGTCTCTCCTGTGCCTGGCTCGGTGGTTGAGCAGCCCCACGGCTGCCCCGCATCACTCACAGGGAAGGAGCTGGAATCCTGCTCAGTCCGCCCCTCTGCATGCCCCTGCCTTGTGTCTCCTTTCCTGCTGCATCCCTGCTCAAAACTCTTTCCTGCTTTTCCCTCTCAGCACTGGGCTGTCAAATCCCATTTCTAATCAGCAGCTCCTGATCACAGACTGGGAAAAGATTTCCAGGGATCATTAGCTCACTTCCGTTCTTCCTAACAGGATCTGCTGAAGCTGTATTACTCCTGACACACGTTTACATCCCCATCCACACCCAGAAATAAAGGAGGTGCCTCCCAGCCTGCTAGAGCTGTGCTGTGGTAGCTCATGCCCATGGTATCAGCATAACTCCACACCCACAGAATTATTCCAGCATCTCCCTTCACACCTAGGAACAGCCCCCAGGTGTGAACATCTCAGTGCCCAAACCCTGCAACACAGGGTAACATTACAGGTCTTTGTTGCAGTTTCTCTGGTGAAATACAAAAGAGTGTTGTGATCTTTCTTTTGCTGATTTTTCTCCCTCCCAACCCTCAGTGTGGAGGTGTGGGGGTCACCCAGCTCTGTCAGCAGATGACTGTCCACAACCCAACACCTGACAGACACAGCCTTGGTTTTATGTTCATTTTCAGTAATATCAGTAGAAAAAACACTGAGGAATTATGTCATGTAATGTCGATCTCCCACTAGTTAAACTTCCCTTTCCCTAGAGATTTTTTTTCTTTTCTTGCTTGGAGGGACAACTGCTCACTTGCTGTTGTGCCCTGGGAAGAACAGTGATGTATGGGTTATTAAGATAGCAGCTTAAACACATAAGCCCTTGACTGCTAAAGGACACTGCAGGGCAAGTGATGGATAGTTGCTGGCTAATGGATTCCTGCTTGGTGCCCTTGGGGGCTTCCACTGCATTTTGGGCCAATGGTAAATTATGGTGAAGAGTCAGCTGTCACTGGCATTTGAGTTGTCTGATGAGTTAATGCTACAGCACTCTGCAGCCTTCCCTGAATTTACCTTACCATCAATCCTCATGACACAATACCCACATCCTTGCTGAGGCCCATATTTCATGGCTAGGCAGAAGTAATTTTTCACTTATTACATTCCTTGCCTGTTCCCTCCTGATAACCTGTCTCCTGCAAAGCTTTCCTCTTCCCTTTCCCCTTCCTCTGAATCTGAGGAAGCTTGATCATTTTGGTGATCATTTCATGGTTCATTTCTGATCCACACAGCCAAAACACCATGAACAAGGCTTAGCACAGGCAGTGTCCCTGGTTTCTCCAATCAATTATCGTTTATCTTTCTGTAAAGGACAGGTTTTCTCAGCACATCACATTTTGTCAGCTGATGAAAAAAACAAGATCAAAGCAGGATCCATCCAGATACCACGTGGTTTAAAAACTACCTGACATATTGCATGGTCCATTGTTTTTCTTCCCATGCATAAGGGAAGTGGAATTGTGTAAGGAAACTGCACATAAGATGTCAGTGGTAACTTTTCTGTTCTGACCATTAGCATTGAAATTGCCTATTTGTGCTCAGATGCAGAATCAGCCTATTGTGTGTACTACAATACATATCATACATAAAATATACATATAATTACATATTTCTATATTTCTATGTATTACATATACACAGATACATATAATATACATATAATATATACATATATACATATACATACACACACACACACATATATATATATAATATACATATAATTAAGACTGCTGGTATTAAAGTAGTCAAACAAAAAAGAGAGATAATGATTTTTTTTTAACATGATGCTATGTCCTAGATAAGGATGACCTTTTTGCCTCACTGTACCTGGATTCCTTTCTGGGGTTTTCACTATGCCTCTCCAAGAGCTTCAGTGGAGAAATCTAGGCTTACCCTCAAAGCAATATGCTTGTTAGCTGCCACACACATTTCCATAGGTTTGCAGTGACATCTATTTTTTTTTTTCATAAAATATTTCTCTTTCTCCTGCTTGATGCTTTTTCTTCTTGTTGCTTAAAAAAATAAGAAGAGCAGGGAAGACCACAACAAACACGATGAAAAAAGGTTTAAACACCTAATTATTGCACTTTTGTAGGACACTTTTCTTGTAGCTCCAAAGTTGAAGCTACTTCTTTTAGAAAATTCCATTTGCACTCTAATTTTTTTTAAAATCACACCTGGATACTTTTGAGATATGCACTGCCCAGCATTATTAAAATATTTTAAAAGGCAATGAAGTATTGATACATTCCATGAGTTCAGCCCTTTTCATTGCCAGGTATCTTTGGCTCCAAAAGAGCACCCCTACTGAAAAATCTGGCTGAGCATTTGATGGTGCCTTGTTTCTTGATTTCTATTTAAAATGACCCCCATGAAGCAGCAGAGAGGGAGAAGTAGCCAGGACACACATTCTGAAGAATGTAGCTGGTGCTGTCAGGGCCAGTGATGGCAGAACTGAAGTCACAAGCACCTCTCTTCTGTCTGCTGTTGAGTCCAGCACACAACTTTCTCAATTTACAACAGCTGCAAATCCATGCATAAACACAACAAAATGCAATGCTGGCACCTCATCTGTAAGGTGCTGTGCTATTGTTTTTGACATTTACTTCCCACTCCAGAAGGCAGATGTGAATTAATCTTCACCTTGACTACCTCTGGCATCACTCTCCATCTAAATCTGCGCCCGATCATTTTCCAGAAAGCGTCTGTGGCTGATTAAAGCTCTGTACTGACAGGGCACATTAATCAGATGAAACAAGTAGCTGATGAGAGACATTTCAGTAGTTAAAACATGTAAGATTTATCTGCTGCCATTTTGTGTCTCCTGTCAAAATAGGGATTTCAGCAATTACGAACATGAAGGCACATACCCTATTTAAGACAGGCTGTTTTTAGTTCATTAAATCAGTCAGGTCTCACCTTCAGGGCCAAAAAGTTACAACTGTGATGTTATTCCAGAAGATCTCAGTAAGCAACATCAAACAAATTAGCATCCATCCTCTGCTTAGGTGGTAATGCTTTCCCATTAATGCTAGTCTGTGATTAGAAGCCTGTACACACAAATGCATTCACATCTGAATTTCCTACCTGAAAGGCAAAATTTTCATACCTGAATATAGACATTCAAAATTTCCATAAAACTGTATTTCAGTGGCAAGAGGCTTTCTTTGTATGTATTTGTATGTAATTTCCTTGCATGTAATAGGAAAAAAAAAAAAAGAAAAAAAGGATAAAACTGTCCTTTTTTTCCAGGATATGAAGTTGTTCATTCAAGGCAGAGAATTGTAAGCTTTCATATTGTCATTTTGAAACACTTACCTTTCATTCTGAGTCTAATTTTGGGGTGACTCCAAGACTTAACAGTTTTATTATACATTTTTTTCTTGGTCAGTAGGAAATTACAAAATCTTTAACACACTTTACTTTTCAAGTCTTCTGTCTCTGGTAAAATCTGACTTACCATGTCTGCCATATTACTCCATGTTCATGTTTCTGTGATGATTCCTGAGTGAGCTGCACTCACCACAACTTCATTTTAAAATACAAGATTGTAAGTACGATGATGTCTGGCCTGCAAACATCTGAGTTCAAACCTCTGTTTCCTTTGCTACATAAGGCCTTCAAATAGGTTAAAAGTTATCAAAAGTGGTTCATTGTTTTAGGTTAGATATTATCAGGTACTATGGGGAAAAAATAAAGCAACTGCTTATAAATGAAAACAAAAAAAAATATTAAAATTAAAATTACAATTTACCAGTCTCAAGGATTCACCAATTCTATGTTGTAGGGAGTGCAGATCTTGACAGTACTGTCAATCACCATCAGGACTTCCAAAATCTTTTCTCAATGCTCATGTAAGTGATGTACACACATTACAACTTGTTGCAATGTATCTATTTATTCCCATATTTAAAAAATGTGTCTATTTTATCTATTTAAATTTAGAAACACTTACATGTGTTGCAAAGCTTTTGTGCATTCCTATCCCTCCACAAGAATTCTCAGCACTGATTTTGCTGGATACTCCCAGGGTCAGTAAGTACGTATACAGTAAATCCAGACAAATGCAAAACAAGTGTGCAGAAAAGAAGTTAAAATATTCTTTATAAGGTAACAATTTCCTCCCAGTTCTCAGTGTAAATCAGTAAATATTCTCACACTGACAATGAATAACATATACTAATATTGTTCCATACAACACTGGTCTCTTAAACTGCCCTCCTCTTACCAAATGTTCTGCTAAACAGCAATGGAAGTGTGGGGGTAAATTATTAATTAATATAATTAATCACAGATTAATTCTTCTGTCAGGTCTTCTTGAAAACATTTCTGCTGCTGTGTGGTGACAGATGACACTGTGCTCTGTTACCTTTACTTTGAACTTCTTGAAAGCAGCACACTAAGAACTGACACCAACACAACTTGAGGGATAGTTTCAACGTTTTAATTTGTGTTGTTTTACAAGTATAAAAGAAAACCCATATGTCAGATCTTGCATACTCTTATAATACACAAATAATCCTTGCTGAGCCATCCTTTGTGTGACTCAAGATTACTCAAAAGAGCACAGTTTTCAGCAGTAGCCCTAAACCCTTTGATGGAACACACAGGCCCCTCTAACATTCCTAGAGGAGAGAAAAAGCACAGTGAACTTGCAGCAAGAGATCACTCATTCATACACAGACAGACTTTGTAGCTCGTACTGTCCTCTCCACGCAGCCACTGGGTGTACCGATAACAAAACCCTCTGACAGTAATTATCTGGAGAAAAACGGCCTCTCCCAGCTTTACAGCACACTTCAGAAAAATCAGCTGCTCCCTCAAAACCCTGGACCAACACATTATCGTTGTGTCTGTGACTCCCCTCCACTACCAGCAGTGGCAGCACAGCTGGATAAACCACCCGGGCCGTGGAGACACCAGGCACTGCACAGGCAACAGCCCCTCGTGCTGGTGGAGTGATGGAACTGTATTTGGTTATTCTGCACAGCTAAGGCAAAACCATAGGACAGTAGAAGAACCCATATAAAGTATTTTTTTCCCCTCTCATGACAGTGATTTAAATATTCAGCCCCCTATGCATGCACTTCAGGAGACTGGTATAAAAATAAGAAGTAATATGGCACACACTCTAAATATGCATATACAGTAGTCTGTGAGGTTTAATGATACTCACTCTGTGTATTCATTCTGAGCTCCTGGCTCTATAACTCTCCTATATTTGACTTCAACATTTCACTGTAGCACCAACCTGGCTGAGGTTTGTGAAGCTTTCACTGTTTCCAAATGGCACAATCACAACTGCACCACCACTGACGGTGTCCAAAGCCTGCTTTGTGCCCTCTCTTTAAACATGAACTACTTCTACACATGGAGTTACTTTTTAAATTTTCCTCCAAAGACTAACAATTCAGACCTGGGTACATCTGTAGATAGGCAGCCATTGTAATTCCCTGATTATTGATATTGATGAGTGTCCAGCTATAAAGACATACTCAGTTTTGGCTAAGAACATCAGAAAACTTGAGCCTGTGGACTGAACTCCACAGTTTTGGAATAAAGGGTTACATTCTCCCTTGCTCCTTTAACTCACTACTGGAAAAGAAAAAGCAATAATCTTTTACATCTAGAAAAGTACAGAGAAATACTATGCTGTACTTTTACATACAAAGGTACAGAGAAACACAGTCGTGTCTTCAAGGAGTCACTTCCCTATTCGATTCTCCTCTGAGAAATTAGAATGGAGGTGTTTGGTGTCTTCCCCAAATATGAGTTACATTCCCAAGGCAAAATCAGGCCAAAAATCCCATTACCACCCACCAATAATTTAATGGCATCTACAGATACATACCATATACAGACACATATTAAGCAAAATGAAAACATAACTCTGTAATAAAACTGAAATATGAAGACATTCATTTATACAGTAGTAAAGAAAAAAATAAAAGCATGTTATGTCTTTGCAGTAGTGACATATTTCATTATAAATGACCCCAGACCTGAGTTTGAGACACTTCTAAAACAATTATGATGATGTCATCCCTATTAAGAGCTTCACATCCTGCATGATGACAGAATGGAGGCTAAGCTTCGGACACTGGGAGATGCTTTGGGTCATCAATTATTTGTTTCCATGAGCAGCCATAATGTGTAACACTCAAAAGAAATGTTAGGAACGTGCTAAGCAAACAAAGTGCAAAAAGCTTTCACTTAATTTGTGAAAATACATATAGGTTTGTGTATTTTCACTAAATTCTTGGGTGTTCATCTGCTAAAGCTTTCTCAGAAACTTGCAAAATACTGAAACACTTTTATTTGTGGTGATGTATTGCTGAGAACAAAAAGTCAATGACTTCCATTTTCTCTTTCAGACTTCAACGTTGTGATACTTCTGAGGTAAAGAAGTCAGAGGGTTTTGAATTAATGATATTAAACTAATCATAACAAATCACAGCTCAAAAAGAAGGAATGAGCATCTTCTATCCCAGTACAAGAAGTCAATGAGCTACCTACTCGGTGCACTACCAAACCCTGACAATCAGGGTAGTGCTGATCTCTCTGACTTCAGCCATCCAAAAGGAAGATTTAGGAAGGATAGTCAGAACTAATTGTGAAGGCATCTGGTTAACACTGAGTAACAGGTCTCCAGAGAGTGATTCATATCACCACATTTTGAGATGGGGTGAATCACTCCCCGGAGATGTGCACTGGAGAGCACCTACATGACTGGTACACACTGTCTGCCCAGCCTCTAGATATTTACATAAAGTGAACACCACCCTGACACCAGAACATCACAAAGTATTAAAGAAATGATAATGAAAGAAAAATGAGCTATTCCAGAACATCACAATTAATGTGCAAAATTTAATTCCCTTACTAACAAGCAGTAAACATGAAGGGTGAAACAGTGCAAAGCCAATAACCCCTCTTTATACATCCTCAGTAACAGTCACATTTCCCTGTCAGTGCTGGCAAATCGGCTGTTTCATGGCAACCCAGACTACAGTGCATTGTGCAAGTCCAATTTTTCTACCACTGAGAGAAGTATTATCTTATTACACTGATTAGAGTGTAAAATAGTCTACAATTTGATCAAAACAGACCACAGCTACAGTCCATACGTAGTCCAGCTCTAAGCTCTGTTTCCATGCTAGGATGGCATGCCATGGGACACCCTATCTGAAATAATATTCATTGCCTTCCATCCTTAGACTTCCTGAGTAAGATGAGCATCAGGACAGTTTCTGAATGATGTCTCCAATAATGACTTAAAATAAGTATGTGACAATAAATCTATGTGCAAAAAGGCTCTGAAATAGAAGTCTACAAACAACGATTGCTCTCCATACACAAACACACACAGACACAAATACTCATACACTGTTCTCCACAAAAACAGGCATGTCAGCCATCATGCAGTGCTACACCTGCAAGAAAGAAATCCTACCCACAAGACACAATGTCTAAGATACACAATGTTCCCAGCAGGTGATCTGCCACCTTCCAAAGGCACCTACTTGCTTCCAGTTGTACTAGGCATTGGAAGAAACACTTTGATGAACACTCCTGTTTTGAGAATCTATTGTCTTGCTACTGCCCCGTGCCTCATCGGTATTTTCAGGAGATTTCATCGCCACCTTGCCTTTCAGTAGAGTGGATTTGTGATGCTGGCAAATAAAGTAGAGGATCTTGAAACAGGACAGCAAAGCTTCGGTAATGCTGGCAGAGAAAAGCTTTTTGCACGGGTGACAGAACTGGAAGAACACCAACATGAAGAAGATGCCCATGCAGTACCCTATCAGGAGCTGCAGGAACAACATTGGGGCGCAGACATACAGGTAGAAGTCTGTTCTGTAAATGTACCACATCAGCAGGAGGAAGGCGTTCTCCATCAGCCGCACGATGTAGTACACGGTCATCTGGTACCAGTTCTGGGATTTGCTAATCAAGTCAGGGTCACTGAGCTCCACCTGCGCTGCCGACCAGCAGAACATGTTAATGCCAGCGTACAGGAACGTGAGAAGGCACAGGACGATGGTAGTGCCCACCCTGCTCAATTCCTTCTCTATGTTCTCAGGAAATGGAGACTTGCTAAGCCAGAAGAGAATCCATGGGTAGAAGAAGTGACCTAAGAAATTCAGTAGCACGATGAGGAAAACCCAGATTCGAAGGACTGAACCGAAAAGCACCAGCACAGTGACCCGTGTGGCGATCTCAAAGCTCCTCCACATGAATATGCAGAGGTAGGCAGCAGGCTTCACACGGACATCGTAATCGTCATACTTTATCTTAATAGCCAGGATGTTGCAGCGTAAGGCGCCGTAAACAATCGACAGGAGAGAAAGCACCATAAAAATACCTACAAAGAGAAAAGACAAATCAGGACCTTCAGTTTAGCAGCAGACATTGCATCAGGGGAGTGCAGGTGCAGTCATCATCATGCACTCCTGGGCATTCCCAGCAGGGTGTAATGCCACAGGAGCCATTCCCAGCCTATACTTGTGTGAAGGAAATTATCTCAGTTAAACCCAACACATAACTCTAATCCTACCTCCTGTTTTGGGTCCTGTTTGATACATATTCAAGTATGTAAGAAAAAGAAGGCACTTAGCAATGATAAGTGTCTCTCCTTCTCCCCCTGCCAAGGGCCGTTCATACGCAGGCTGTCCTTGGTAATTCCACAGCTCAGTTGTAAGAGTGTCCAACTTGCTCCCAAACTCCTACAGTACAAGGCACAGGGGTGCTACTCCCTTCCCATACAGATGAAAAACTGCAAAACAGAAGCTAAAACTTTGGAGTAACTTGGACATGCAGATAACTTGGTGCTTGTGAAGTTTTGTGTTGAAGCAAATCACAAAAAAGTTATGTGATACAGCTCAAAACTGAAAGCTGAAGGAATTTAAACACAGCACTGTCCACATTATCTCTGTGTAGAGAGATATTTACTCACCTGTCTGCACTGTGTTTTCCTATACATCAAAGTTCTTTATACACCCATTTGTATCATGCATTTAAAAAACCACTCCTATTAAAAATGTCTTTAAGTTCAGGTCAATTTACAGTACCTCCCACCTACCCAGAATCCCTGAAAGGAAGGTTTCACATTTAAATTCTGCAGAAAGTGAAGGCAGAGACCAGATGTTACTTGGCACTGCAGGAGGGCATCCTGTCTTCCCGTATTAAGTAGGGACAAATGTACATGAATACTGGACACAGAGAATAAACAAAGTGCTAACTGCCTACAGGATTTTTAGAATTTGCATATACAATTATATAAATATTTATTCAAAATTTTATGAACATGCTGAATAGCTGATACTGCATCAGATAAAATAATCGGAGCTGGGAATTCTTAATCATGTCAATTACATTTGCAATGCTTAGCAACCAGTGTTTTCTGCAGCTTTCAATTAGTTTGTGTGTCAATATCCTACAAATAAACTGGATTCCCTGTTTTGCTATACCTATATTGCCAAAATTATCAGGGTTTGGGCTTTTTTCTTAATTATAAGTCAGTAATTTCTAAGCAATCTTTTGAAATAAATAAGTGTATTTTAAGATCTCTAACAGCTTTCTAAGAGAATTTTCTCTATTATTTCAGCTAATCTCTTTTCCATTATGATCCACAACCACCTCTGAATTACTTTGGAAAACAATTAAGTCTTTATATCTAATTTTCCAAGGCACTCAGTAAGGTGAGAATCACTTACCATTTTATATGGTAATTTTGTACTGCCAGTTTTGTGTTGCATATATTCTCTGAAAATGTTTATTTTGAAATTGGTAGTAGGTAACCAGTAGTTTTTAAACATCTTTTTTACAGCACTGAATAATGTCTCTAATAATGACTTAAAATAAGCATGTGATAATAAACCTATGTGCAAAAAGGCACATAGAGCTGGGCATTTCTAAATGTTACATCTTGGAAAAGCATCAGCTGAAAGCAGGAGAGAAGGTGAGTTCAGTCAAGAATATTGCTTGATGTCCTATGTTTTTTTACAAAATGCTTCCTGTAGTTTTGGGCTGTGAAAGAACATAAATTCCAGCAGCTAATGAAGCAAAAGAATATTCTCAGAGTTAAAGGAAGATAAAGATGTACCCACTGGGGACTGAGTGCTGCTGTGCTGGAACTCTGCTTGCTTTCTGCTTTGACAAACTGAAACGTTGATCTTATTCCCCAGTTTCACCTTAGGGAATCTATATTAATCTCAAACCTGTCTTATGAACTCAAGCCTTCAAAAGAGGCATTTCTCCATTGATAGAAAATAGGTCATGCTGATTCTGGTCACTAGCATACACTAGTCCAGTCCTACTCCTTTCCTAAAAGCTCATTATTGCCACCAAACCTTCAGTTCAAACATAATTAACTCCGTGAGAAAGATCATTTGAAGGAACCACTAAGGGAAATTAGAGAGTGAAACTGAAAAGCAACTCAGTTGCTTTTACTCATCCTGAGCTGGCAAAGAAATGTAAGTTTAAAAGGCAAAATACCTTCCCCTGGAACAAGTTCCAAATCCTCTAACAGTCCTTATAAAGGTGGCATTTCTCTTCTTCCTTCCTCCTCCCAAAAGGCTGTCTTCTTAAAAATTACAGGTGGATATCCACAGAGTCATCCAGGGAGGTACTGATTTACTTTGTTGTGTTTTGTTATTACACATGTTATTTGAAGTCCTTACAAGTACTGGTCCTTCCCACTTCAGAAACTGCTAAGACAGTGAATTCTACTCCTCACAGGTACCACTGAAATCTATTATAGATACTATAGTTATATGTATACAAAATAGAGCTAGGACTCTGATTAGGCTAATACATGTGGATTTCCAGTGTTGTATTACATCAAACATTTTTACACTTTTCATGATAGACAGTCACCAAAGCTTTATGCTGCTCATCACTAACCTCAAGAGTTGGTCCAGCTTTTGCAGTTCTCTGGTTGTCTTGATCTTACATTCTTGGCAGACTGTGAAATTACAGTTTTGAAGAATGCCAGACACTGGCAAGACCCCAATTATCCAGAAGAAAACATCCAGAGAAATTATTGAATGCCATGAAACACACAAGGAATATGCAGCATGGCCCTGGCTGGCAAAGGACTAGGCAAGGATGCATGCTCTTTTCAGAAGTGCTCAAACCAACACCGGAAGCAATAAGGAGTTTCAAACAGATTTGAAAGAGACACGCCATGCCCCCAGCATGATGGTAAACAGCTTCAGGTTCTCAGGTGATACTGACCTCATCACCCCTGAACAGAATTTACTCAGAATGACAGGGTATGTAAGAATCCAGAAAAATAACAGACTGATGAGGAGACAAGAAAAAACATGTGAAAATCAAAATACAAGACAGTGATAATTATACAAGATGCAAATGGAAGAGAGCCTGAAATTTGGAGGACCAGTGTCAAAGAACAGAAAAACTGAAGACATCTGAAGTGTGGAACAAGAACTGGGCTGGCTGGATGAAGAGATTGCAGGAAGTTTCATTCATATAATTCATTCATTCAATTATATCAGCAGCTAAGACACACCAAGGATATGGTTAGAACTCTTGTTTTTATGATGAATGAGCTCTAACAGACATCAACATTGCTCCTAAAACTTTTTTTTTTCTTTACATTTCTGTATTTTAGAATTACATCTGTATGGAGATGCTCCTGGGAAGCATGAAATAACTGCTGCACTTGCAAGTGGGTTCACCAAACTCTCTGGTGGTCAGCTTATCTCTGGTCATTTCACCCAAGGAATGTCACATAGTTTGTGATTACAACTTATCTCAGCAGTGACTGAAAAAGCTAGAAGCAATACAGCATTACAAATGATTATGAAATAAGCAATTCTCTGATCATCTGGAACACAGGAGTTCTCTTTGGAAATCATGACCACTAAGGTCAAAACCAAAAATGAAATGAAATAAAATAAAATAAAATAAAATAAAATAAAATAAAATAAAATAAAATAAAATAAAATAAAATAAAATAAAATAAAATAAAATAAAATAAAATAAAATAAAATAAAATAAAATAAAATAGTGATCTTTCTCAAGTAAATGCCATCTACAGCAAAGTGACTGGAGATTTTGCTAGTTGCACTGTTCAACAAAGGATTCAATCACTTTGTCACCATCCCACATCACAAATGCCATGGTTATTCGAGGGACCTACCTTAGTTATGAAGAATTCAGGAACTGGAAGGAGTAATGTCTTCCAAGAAATTACTGCTATGATGTTCTGGTTTTGGCTGGGGTAGAGTTAATTTTTTTTCTAGTAGCTGATACAGTGCTGAGTTTGGATTCAATATGAGAATAATCTTGATAACACACTGTTTTAGTTGTTGCTCAGCAGTGCTTTAAGTCACAGAATTTTCAATTTCTCATGTTCTGACAGTGAAGAAGTACACAAGATGCTATGAAGAAGCACAGCCAGAACAGATGATCCAAACTACCCAGAGGGATATTCCATACCATTGGTATCGTGCTCAGTGTATGAACCAGGGGAAGTTGTCTGGGAGGGGCTGATAGGTGCTGGGGGATGGTTTGGGCTTCACTTGTCCTTCTCGAGCTTTATTCTTCTCCCTCTCTCTCCCTCCATCTCTCTCACCCCTCTTTATCCCCTTCATTACTACTACTACTACTACTACTACTACTATTACTATTACTATTACTATTATTAATAATAATATTTTACTTTAATTCAATTATTAACTTATCACTTCAGCCTCAGTCTCCTTAGCTGTGAAGCTGCTAAAGATCCTCTCAGGGCCTTAGAGATACAACAAAAGCTATTTAGTGTTTCAGTAGAAATGCACCTTCAAGTTCACACAGGTGCCAAAGTCCTTTATTACACTGAAAAGCTGCTGGTCCCATGACCAGCAGGGTTCTCCATTTAGCAGTGAGCTTCCATTAGAAAATGGAAGCAAGATGCAGAAACCCACAGTAAGAGTGATGTGTACTGGTAAGTGTGTGATGTTGTGCAGCACTGCTTGGTGAAGGCTGAACAGCTTGGGTCCAGAGATGAGATGACCACAGTTGCACAGCAGTTTACTGAGTCCTGCCTTTTGATTCCAGAATCAGAGTCTGGCACAAGTAAAGGTAGTTAATGTACTTAATTCATATTTAAAACTGTATTCCTGAAAGTACACCATCCCTAAGGCAGCATGAAAAAACAGTATACCCCAAGGAATTTTCCAGAAAATTTTGCTCAAAAACCAAAATGGAATGGAGGTAACTTTTTGAACTTCTTCATGAAGACAGCTTGGTCCCTCCAGCTGCCTCCCTCTCATACCATAATGGTCACTTTATCAGGTCAGTGTTTTTATAGCAACCCAAGCGTGCTACGGAAGGTGTCATAGTCTAAAACATGACAATATAAACTTGAAAGCAACATCACCAAACTTGAAAGCTATCACAGAGATGAAACCCATTGCAGAATGCCTGGTCCTTGTGCAGGGCAGCTAAAACTGACTGCCCTCCTACCCAAACACCAGAAAGGTCATAAGAACAGCTCTACCTACTTCTGGCAACCGTGACCTCCTGCTGCAGGACACAGATGTAGAGCTGGAGCGTGAGCTGGGGCGCTGAGCCGAGGAATGCCTGGATCACAGAGGCCCTGCTGAATGCAGACCTGTGTGTGAACAGCTTGCCTTCAGCCTGTCCCACTTCCTTCTCAATTTCTTCTGAGTACCCATCCTTGGGAATCTGCCTCTTCTTTGTGATGCTGACATAGGGCTCTTCAACTCTGTCAGCACGGAAGTAAATGTAAAAGGCTTCCACACACCTACAAGCAAACAATTAGATAGAGTAACAGGGGAAAATGAAAGAATGAAAGGTTTCCCCACTTCCTGGTATTTTAAGCAATTACATAATAAATCCTAAGCCATTTTTTTCATAGAGCAAAGCCTGTAAGTTTTCTCCTCCTGGTAAACTTGGAATATAACAGATTTCATTCTTTAAAATATGAACTACATGTTACTAGAAGTCAGGAACCTGCCCTTTGGGGCAGTGCCCTTTGGGCTGCTTGTAGTACTCAGATTTGGGAGGAGGTTTAATCATTTTATATGAGCTGCCCTTGCTCTCTGGTGTCTCACTGAAGTCCTTAAAACTGCTCATCCACTACAAGGATGCCAGACCCAGGACCCAAATTGGAAGTGTGTTTCTTCAGATTTTCATGGGTTTTACTTCTTGTTATCTATACATCTGTGATGTGCTAATGGGACATGGCAATAGACCCACTTTTCATATCATTGCTTTAAAACACCTGAATAGAGAAGTTCAGGGTACAAGGAGGTGCACATACCTCAAAACTTTACCAAGCAATGGTTCAAAACACAAGTAACATGCCACAGCAGTGAAAAGGAGCAGTTTTGAGCCTCACAACCCTTGAAATCACAATTTTTTAAAAAAGGCACAAGAATAGGAGCTTAGAGTGTACTTACATTTATTGTACTGTTAAAGAAATATTAATGTAATCTCACAAAAAAGATTCTAAGTAAGAAGATGCAGTGTTTCCAGTTGCTGCAGCTCTTCATACTTTAAACACAGTGGAGCCAAACCAAGGGAGAAGAAAGGAAAAAATTACTTCTGTTTATTTTAATAAACTTTACTTCATTTTTTCCTCTAACTGGACCACTAGCAAGTTTCAACCACTCAAGATAAAGAGCAGTTTTGGGATTGTGTAGTACTATTCCTGATTCACTAGGCTTCAGTTATCATTATGACTAAAGCTCTTCAACATTCCCGCTGCTCTGGACGCTCCATTCACAGAGGTGACTTTCTGTCTTCTCCTCGTTAATCTTTTCACTCCCTGTTAATCTTGTTCCACATGAAAGAATCCATACAGCCAAAAATAAAGTGTGCAAAACTAACAAAGCACTGTGGCTTTATGAAGCCAGCATAGATTCTGAAACCAACAAATTGATTTTATTCCAAAAAGAAAGATCCCAGACCATTTTTTCTCATTTAGTATTCACAGCTGTGCATTCACCCTGAACCGAGGGCAAGTCTGAGTATATTATGGAAAACTGGATCTCAGCATCAGGCTGTGAACTCTTGCTGTGTGTGATTAGAAGCAGATACAGTCTAGGGACCCATCTAAAAAATATGTAGTGCTCCTATTAAAGAAATCAGATTTATGAAACTACTGACAATAGCAAACATTATAATCAACCAAACACTGGGTTTTGGAGCAGGAATTTGATTTTTATTTACTAGCTGGGTATTAAGTAGCAATATATTGTTTGTGATGGGGATTTTTTGTCCATACAGAAAAGCAAACATAATGTGAAATGGTCTGATGAGCAAACCTTAGAGCCAAATAGGGCTTTTACCACAACAACGGAGTAATAAAAGATGCTATATGCACGCATTCAGATTACATTGATAAAGATGCCCATTTTCTCTCAGGCCCTTCTAGTCCCATGCAAGAGTGTTTCTGGAAGTCAAGCCTTCAGGGACAAATAACAAATGCACTCAGGATTCCATCTGCTGCCACTGCCCAAGCAACTGCTTTGAACAGGAGCAGACTGGCAGCTGACACACCAGAAAGAACAAGCACCAATCTAAAAGTTTAAGTAATAGAATGTGGGAGGGACACACGAACTTGAATGTCCATCCAGGTGAGAAGGGTCCAGAACTGTGATGAAGAATCAATGCAGATCATGTTGCTGTGTCAGATTATGACTTTGCCTGTAAAGTAGTGAGGGGTGGGGCATCTTGTCTTTAAATGAACTACCTGGCTTTCTCTTTTTTAGCATGAAACACAACTAAGAGACAATGCAAGAAGGGGATTGCTTCATGGCAGCTTTCTCCCACAGTAACAAGCTCCTGCAGCATGGTGAATTCCACAGAAGCCCTCATTGCTGCTCTGCTCCAGATGCTTCTCTGTTCCAGATGGACAGGAGTGAGAGATTCCAACTTCTGCACAATCCATCTCCTGCAATGATGTTTAGGGCTCTTTCAAGAGCCCTCACATGGTGTCAAGAGCAGAAGGCAAGCAGCCAGCTGTCTCCTCTGCATGTAAGGCACTGACAACCACAGCACAGGCTCTGAAGGAACTAAAATTGCTTTGAGGAAAAAAAGTCAGATCTACAGTAAGAGGTAAGAAAAGGATGGTATGAATTTCTCCCCTGCTGCTGTATCTTGGCAGAAAGAAGAGCCATACTTTTTCAGGCATCCTGATGGTGCCCACAAAGAATGATTCAGCCGCAACACATTTGTCTTCTGCACATTAAGTAGGAGGAATAATCCTACACTTACATGCTTGCTGAGAGTGAGCACCTCATTTCCTCTTTTAATCATGGACGCGTGGGATTGGAACACAGGCAAAATAATGGTGGTGTGAAGAGGGAGAAAGCAACGAAAACAGGGAACTTTCCACACCTAACCGGCACTCCAAGAACAAACAGTTATTTGAGACCTATCCACACATACCCACTGCAAATGTATGAGCAGATTTCTCTAATTTTTACATTTTACTAATCCTTCTCTTCAGAGAAGTGTGAAAAATACTTATCAGTGCTACAGACTTACTTACCTGCATCAGGCAAAGACCTGTTTCTCACTCAGTCTTTTACCTTTTACCCATACTGACTTTCTGTTCATCTCACCATGGACACCTAACACATCTGCTCAAGAATAAAGGAAAGAAAATTGCCTGCAGAGAATCTAGACAAATTCCTCCCATCTGGAAAAGAGGGTGGTGCATCAACAGCTGTAAAGTTTTGAGCTAGCAGGATGTTCTACAGTGAGGTCAGCCAATGAAGTTCTACAAGGAAGGGAGGAAGTTTTTAGACCTGTTCTATTTTGAACTGTTAAGCAGGTCACTAGCAAAAAGAGACTACCCATGAGAGACAAGGCTTCTGTACAGTGTCACTGAAGCAGTACCTGCACCATTAGAGCTTATTAGATTTCAAACTGCAGAATTAGACACCCAAAACATGAATGACTATAGAAAAATTTGACTTTTTAAATTTTTTTTTTACTTCCTGCAGCTTACAGGGTCAAACTGGCCATAACAGCAGCTCCTCTGGCAGTTTGATGCAAGCTTCCTCCTACATCTGCTGTGCTGCTGTCTACATGATACATAGACAGGTAATTGTTTCTCCTTATGCTTTGAGAAACAAAGCCTGATCTCATTAAAAAAAAAAATAAATCTATTGTTTATAACCTTGTCCTATTAACACGAGGAAAACAGTCATTAGTGTTCTATATAGGGGGCCTGTTATATTTACTCAAGATGTTTTTTGAAAGAGTTCATCCTTCTGCTGACCCAGCCCTCTCCTGACTGCATCTCCTCACACAGAACAGGTTGGGCTCACACTGCATGAACAGAGCACTGGGGAACACAGTTCCAAAGACACCTGCAGTCACTCAAACTTCCCTCTCCATGAAGTTGGTACCAGAAGGAATCCCTGCCAGGATCACACCGGTTGGTTTTGATGATGCCACTTCAGTACAGCCTTCAGTAAATCAGGTGGAAGGGAACTCCTGCATCCAGCAGACTCACGGTCCCAACACCAGTGTGTGACTGTAAGCCCCGACTGACCAAGTCAGTTTGTTGGAAATCTGCACTTCAGCTCTTGATCCTTTTATTAGTTGAAGAATTGAAAAGGGCAAACAAGTTAATAGGGGGTTCTCTGGTGCCTATCATGAAGAGTAAGGATAAAAGGAGGCTCAGGGGGAACATTATAGGTCTCTACAGCTCCTCAGGAAGTTGTAGTGAGGCGGGAATCAGTCTCTTCTCTCAAGATAACAAGAGACAGGACAAGAAGAAATGGCCTAAAGTTGGTCCAAGGGAGGTTCAGGTGGATATTAGTACAGATTTTTCCACTGAAAGGGCAGTTAGGCATTGGAATAAATGTCCATGGAAATGGTGTAATCACCATGCCTAAAAATGTTCAAATGGCCTGTGGATGTGGCGTTCATGGACGTGGTTTAGTGGTGAACACAGTGGTATTGGGTTATCACTCAAACTCAGTGATCTTAGAGGTGTTTTCAAACCTAAACAATTGCCTGATTCTCTGAGGGGTTATTTACACTTTGAAGAAATCCTGAAGTGTAGAGCAGTACACCAGCAAAATGACATCCAGTAATTATGTAGCACTTAAATTCTCAAGATGACTTTGGTGCTACAAGTGCCATCCAAATGAAGTGAACAAAGAGACCGGCCTAAGCACAGAAGCAGCCTGAGCTAAAAGGCTCACCGTGACCTTTTCTAGAGAAAAGACAAAAATAATCAACCTCTCATTGACACTGGCTACTGTTTTAAGTATTTTTTTCTGTTTTAAGTTACTTAATGTGGTAAAATAATCTCCTTTTACAAAAAATCCTCCCAAAACCAAACCTATGTGAATACATCTAAGCATCCAGACAAATTAGTGCACTCATAAGGAGTGGCACTGACCTGAAATACTGCAGGAATCCCACATGATGCCCAGAAACCTGCAGTCACTTTGTTCCAGCCAAGTCTCTGCAGAGCCTCTGGCATGCCTGCATCCAAAGGATCACAGCCAGGCCTCTAAAGGAGATAGGAATTTTGCTCTACAAATTGCTCCGAATTTATAGAGAAACTCCTAGGGAGTGGGAGAAGAAATTAAAAGAGGGTACATTAACAGTACACCAAAAGTCCTCTCCAGGAAGAGGAATGCTACCTAATTTTAGTCCTTCCAGTGGCAGCAGCAGGACAGCAAGTGCCTCCTGAACAGGTGGAGTGTGGGTGTTTGGGGAAGGTGGTGGCATGCAAGAAGGTTCTATGAGAGAAAGTACTTTTTTCCCATCACTCAGATGATTCAAAA